GTACAATAGAAAAAATAAAAATTTTAGGCTGAGCTTAATTGTAAAACTTTGATTTATAGAGTTATATTTAAATGTAACAATGTTTATAAATATTTTATAATGATTTATATATAGAACACACATATATATGAAAAATACAGAAAAGTTATTATTAGATTATATAAAAATAATGTTTAGTCTTTTTGAAAACAATTATATGGTAATGGCTTCTTTAATTATCTGGAGAAAAATCTAGTGATTTTATCTAAATCTGCTACAATTATTAGCATGACAGACTAGTCCCATTTAAATCAATATTTTCCAATCAACATCAAAAGTACAATGTTGATATCTTACCCTTTATGGCAACAAAATACCCTTTAAAAGTTTAATTAGCTTTTAAAAGAGCAGTTTGCATTCTCTTCATTCTTAATAAGTCATTTGGACTCATTTCTAAAGGCAAGTAAAAAAGTCACTATTTCTGTATTTTTTATATTTTTCTTAAATCACTAATTTAATCAGTTTTTATTAAATCACTAATTTATTTTGGTCTGACCAAACTAAAATCCCTTCTCATACATACAACTTTCTTTAGGGGATTCAAATATTCCTGTAGACCTTTGAAGACAATTACTACGAACATTCTAAGATTTGCTTTGCTAACTTGCAGTTTGATTCTTCCACCTGCTAACTGTCTCCTATATCAGTCAAGTATAATGGATAGGTTATTTTACTGGTAGTTTAAAAATTAGAGAAAAAACTTGAAGTCTTTTTTTGTAAGATTGTTGTAATTCTTTTTGGTTATTTCTTTTAAAGAAGTCTCCAGATATCTAACAACTTCTGCAAATTGTATTCATGCTACATAATTATTACTGAATAAACAACACATTTATAAATTCATTGATTGGCATTATATTAGATTGAAAATTTACCTGCATTTTTATTTTAGATTCCTATTTATAAATACATTTTTGCATAATTCTTCCAGTAGATTCAAAATGCTCTACAAATATCCTAACAATCCTGACAACAATGAAATATTGTGTTATTAAGAGTGTTAGCTGGATGCTGGTGGCTCACGCCTGTATCCTAGCTACTCAGGAGGCTGAGATCTGAGGATTGCAATTCAAAGCCAGCCCAGGTAGGAAAGCCTGTGAGTCTCTTATCTTCAATTAACCACCAAAAAAACAGAAGTGGCACTGTGGCTCAAAGTGTTAGAGTGCTAGCCTTGAGCAAAAGAGCTCAATGACAGTGACCAGGCCCTGAGTTCAAGTCCCATGACCACCACCACCAACAACAGAGTATTAACAGAGTGAATTATTGTAGTAGAGCATATTAATCCTAAACTCTAGAACATAAAATTCAAACATCTCTTTCAGATATCTATTTAATTACATGATCATGAATAAAGATAGGCTTGTTAAATGTACTTTTGCACATTATATTATTTTTAAAAATTATTTTTTCACTTATATTCCAATACAAAGCAATAAGTAAAAGTCTTACATAGACTAGCTTGTTAAAGTCTATTTTGACATATGTAGAAGAAAATATATTGAGAAAGAGTAATAAAGAAAATATGTTTTAAAAAAACTATCTTAAAATTACATTTTTCTTGGAGTTCATGTTTTTATATTTAAAGTGCTTTTTACATATATTACATAATCAAAAATGTTCCTTTGGATGATACAATGGCTACACTGCTAAGGCTGCCAAGTGCCTGAGTGGTACACTTGGAAAACAATGAACAACATAAATATTACAAATACTCTAAATTACAGAGATTGAGTAATGAAAACTGTCTTCTATGTAAAAGAAACATTTTAGGAGCAACTGAAACAGTTTATTTACCCCATCCCTTCAAAGGTACAAAGATACAATTGACTTTGAAATTTAAATGACTCTCCTTAAGAAAGACTTAGAAGACAATTGTACTTAAACCAAGTTCTCATAAAACATGCAATGGTAGCCCTGGTAAAATTAAAAGTATGTAGTACCTGTGTTTGTAACTATCAAGAGGAATGACAACTCAAAAATTTCCCAAGAATAACTAAACCTTGTAAGATTATTAAGACTTGTTTTCTTGTTTTTTTCTTCTTTTTTTGGCCACACTTTTCCCTGCCTTAAACCAGGAGCTCTAACTCTCTAATAGCAGAGATTATAGGCATAATCACCATGCTCAGCCTAAGATTTGCTTTCAATGTCTTAGACTTGCAGCCTAATACTAACTGCAGGCTATAATAATTAAGAGAGAAGGTTTAGTAGAATACTGTGCTTTAGGGCAGAGTTGAAGCTGAATTCTAATATCAGTCTCAGCATATGGAAAAAAAAACCGCGTATGTATAAAGAACTTATATCATTAGTATGAAAGGCAGAGCCAGGCACTGAGGCTGAGATCTGAGGATTGCACTTTGAAGTCAGCCCAAGCTGGAAAGTCCATGAGACTCTTATTTCCTATAAACTACTCAAAATAAAAAAGCCAGAAGTGGTGCTGTGGCTCAAGTGGTAGAGTACTTGCTTTAAGCAAAAAGAAGTTCAGGCATAGCGCCCAGGCCCAGAGTTCAAGCCCCAGGCCCAGCAAAAAAGGCACTGGGTTAGAGGCACAGCTCAAGCAGTAGAGCACCTGCTTAGGAAGTATAAGGCCCCGAATTTATGCTTGGTATGCACCTGCACAAAAGAGGAGAGGAAGGAGGGGAGAAGAGAGAAGGAAGGAAATAATTAAATAGAAGTATCATAACACAGGATTCAATAGCAAGAAACAAAAGATTGAGTCCCAAAGTGGCAAAAGTAATGTCATTTTCTTTACTGACTTGTGACAGTGGAAAGAACTTCCTGTGTCTAATAATGATCCATTTTGTTATAAATACCCTCAAAGAAACATTTTTTTAAAAGAAATTTTAAACTTTTACTACCAAAAATCTCCTTATAGCAAACTCTTCATTTAAACATTTTTATTAGATGCTACTTAGAGAATATGAAAACAATCTTTTAAAATTATTCCTTTCATTCACTCACTGAACATTTACTGAATACTTGCTGCTAGGGGTGAATTCATGAACTTGAATAGTTCATAGTTGTATGGGAGAGAGATTTATAATTAGATAATTATAGTGGGATAAACAAATGCTATAGTAAAGACACATTAAAACATACTAAAGAAATATAGGAAAGGGATTTAACTTTACCTTTTTGAAACTAGAACAACATTGTGATGAAAATCTCACTGTCATCATTAGCGTAATTATTGGGTGAGCGCTGTGGCTCAAGTGGTAGAGTGCTTGCCTTGAGCTGAAGAGCTCAGGGACAACGCCCAGGCCCAGAGTTCAAGCCCCATGATGGATCAAAAAAAATTATTCCCTTCATTCATTCATTTACTGAATATTCAGTGCTATGGATATCAAATTCTTGAACTCAGAATAGTTCATAGTTGAGTGGGAAAGATATTTATAATTAGAGTAGGATACATGTATGCCATTGTTCTGCTGGAAAAGTATCTTTTTCAAACTCATTTTTTTAATCTCCGTAATAATATCCATTCTATTTTCATAAGGATGCCAGAAAAATAAGCAAGCAAGGAATCAAACACAATGCTTTGATAATGTAATATCTGAAGTCATACTATCTAGGTACAGTTCCTGTTGTCACTTTTTTTTTTTTTGGTCTGTTGTGGAGCTTCAATTCAGGGATTGTGTGCTGTTCCTGAACTTTTTCACTGAAGGCCAGCACTCTACCACTTTAAGCCACAGTACCATCTCCAGTTTTCTTGTGGGTAACTAGATTAAGAGTTTTATTGCCGGACTTTCCTACCCAGGGTGGCTTCAAACTGCAATCCTCAGATCTCAGCCTCCTGAGTAGCTAGGATTACAGGTGTGAGCCACAGGCACCAGGCTCTGGCTGTCCCATAATGAGGATAATAAAACTTGTAATTGTTATGGTCATTAAATTAGAAAACCTAGGTAGAAGTACTCAGAAGCATGCATGACACAGACCAAGTACTCCATACTCCATGGTAACTGTTAAGAAATGTAAAATTTATACATAGGTAAACTGATTCTTTAAATCTACTTGCCAAATAGATCCTGCAAATATCCAGTATTATAAGTTAAAATCAATTCATGTGTAGATTTGATTATTAAATTTTATATTTAAAAATACAAAGACATGGATGTCCTACAGTTTCTAGAAACTGATAAAATATAACACAGTTTATACAAATTCAACAAAGTAACTTTTGTTGTATGCCTTCCCGAGGGCTTGAACTCAGGGCCTGGACATTCACTGGCCCTGAGCTGTTTTGCTCAAGGATAGTGCTCTACCACATGAGCCACAGCTCCACTTCCAGCTTTTTTTGGTGGTTAACTAGTGATAAGAGTCTCTTAGGACTCTCCTGCTTGGGTTGACTTTGAACTTTTATCCTCAGATTTCAGGTAGAATTACAGGTGTGAATCCTAATTCTAATATCTATAATAAAATTAACTTTGATGGTAAAAATGTAATCTTAAACATAGTACAAGGATAGGCACAGGGGTTGGGAAGGTGGCTCAGTGGTAGAGTGCTTACCTTGCATGCATGAGGCCCTGGGTTCGATTCCTCAGCACCACATAAGCAAAAAGAAAAAGCTGGGAGTGGCATTGTGGCTCAAGTGGTAGAGCGCTAGCCTTGAGCTGAAAAGCTGAGGGACAGCGGCCAGGCCCAGAGTTCAGGCCCCACGACCGGACCCCCCCCCCCCCAACAAAAAAAAAAAAAAAGGAAAGGCACAAAAAACACAAATTAGCAAAACCAGGTACAGGTGGAATTTATATTCCAGGATCTTATGTTTCCTCTTATCTAGAAGTACTGTTTAGGAATAATGACTTCATGGTTCTATATGTATGAATTCACCAGTTCATAATGTACTAAGTACTTACAATATACAAAGCCTGTGGGAAAATAAGCCAGAAATAAGAGCAAATTACTCCCGATATCAATACAGTTCTGATTAGAATTAACAATTTTTGGATTTTTCAACTAATATTCCTCACATCACTTAGCTGCCTGTTGTACAGGGGTGTAGCTGCACTGGCATTCTGTTTATTCCCGGCTTTTAAAGCTGCATCTTTTCTTGCTTGCTCAAGCAGAACTCTTGCTCTTTCTTTAAGCTCTTCTTGTCGGGATAACATTCGATGCTTAAAAAGAAAGACACAAAATTAGAAGCCACAAACAAAACAAAAATAAACAAGTAATCTACATTTCTAAACTAATTAAACATCAGACAATCTGTTGAAATAAGAGAGATTAGTAATAACACTGTAGCTTCCTTGCTAAGATTACCTATAGAAATGAAAGCAGAATATAAAAATCTTGACATGAAAGAAATAAACACATCTTTACTAACTTTATTAGAACATATTGTCATAATGTGTGTTTATACAAATGCATATAAATGCACTATATTACGTGCTATTCATCTTTGCCCAAGATAACAGTATAATGTGGGAACCAAAGATACTTTTAAACACTCAGCTTTTATTTTTATAGTCTAATAGAATTGATAGCAATGTATTCCCAAATTTATATACTGATAAAGATAATATATGATAATTTTATGAAATGACAAATATTTATGGAAAATTCAAAACTATTATATTTTGTAAAAAAAAACTAAGTCTGATTTCCTTCTTCCTTGTTCACTCTCCTTAAAATGAAACAAGCATATGAAAATTGGGAAAATATTCCCTTGGATTGGTTTGTAATCTTTCAAGCCCTGGTACCAGGACTTAAACAACTCAAGGTCTCTCAAACTTTTTCTACTTTCTTGCTCACATCTGACACTCTGAGTCATGTCACCAGACCTGGAAATCAGTTCTTAAATGGTGGCAACAACCAAAAGTACAATATACAGAATCTCCTTTTTTTTTTTTTTTGAGACGGAGTCTTATTATGTAGAGAGGGTAGCCTGGACTTCTGATCTTCCTGTCTCAACCTCCTGAGTACTGGGATTATAGGCAGTACCACCCATACTCCTGAAAGTCCAATGTCCAAAGTCTTTTAAAAAAATTAATATAGCCATGTTTTAGTTTTAGATAATTATTATTGTGATGTTTAACTTCTCTTCCCTTTTACAGTATAATTTTATAGTCAAAGAAAAGGAAATAAACAATAAATCTGTTGTTTCATTTACTATTATGTGAAACTATCTGAAAAGACCACTTTAGGATAAAAATCTTCATAGTTGACTATAACTACTTTTTAAACCCTTTTTCTGTAATCTTAATGTTTTCCTTAAAAAAAAGCATAAATAGGCTAAGCATGTGGCTTAGTGGTAGAGTGCTTGCCTAGAATGCATGAAGCCCTGGGTTTGATTCCTCAGTACCACATAAACAGAAAAAAACCAAAAGTGGCATTGTGGCACACTAAGCCTTAAGCAAAAAGTTCAGGGACAGTGCTTAGGCCCGGAGTTCAAGCCCCAAGACTGGCAAAAAAAAAAAGTGCATAGTTTTATTTTATTGTTAGCATATGCATGAGGTCTGGAACTATCACCACTACCTAATTCCAGAACATTTTCATCATTCAGGATTTGAAGGGGAGCACTGCACCAGTGGCTCACACTTGTGAATCTAGCTATTCAGGACATTGAGATCTGAAGAATGTGGTTCAAAAGCCAGCCAAGGCAGAAAAGTTTGTGAGAATATCATCTCCAATTAACCACCAAAAAGCTGGAAGTAGAATTGTTACTGAAGTGATAGAATGCTAGCCTTGAGCAAAAAAAGCTCAGGGACAGTACCAAGGTCCTAAGCTCAAGCCCCAGGAATACTCCCCCCCACACAAAAATCAGGTTTAAATTATTGTCCCACTAATAATAAGCAATGTAACGTTGAACAGATGTCACTTAAAATAATAGTGTAATTCCATTATATAATATATAATAATTTTGGAGTGACACCTGGGTTCAAATGCCAGTTCCATCACTTAATTGTAGACAAAAGATAAAAGTAGACTATTTTTCATAAAGATAGTGTAATGATTAAATAATAGTTTACTGAGTACTGGCACATGATAAATGCTAAATAAAAGTTAAACATTACCATTAAAAAGAACCCTCCATTTCCTTACCTTAGAAATGAGAATAGATCATCTTTAAGTCCTATGTTAGGTCTAAATTCTATAGTCCTTTCGTGGTTTCAACCCAGCTACACAAATAGTGAAACAACTGCTTTGGCCTTAAAAGCACATAAGCATATTTTTTTTTCTGATTAGTCATACATACTTCATATTCATTATAGAATTTTTAGAAAATACATATAAGTAAAAAAAAAACTGAAAAAATGTACTTTATGTTATTCAGAGATCATTACTATAGAATTGTGCTCCCCACCCCCTTTACCCACAGTGCTGGGGATAATATCCTTGGGAAGTACTCAATAATAGCATTATACCCCAGGCCTATCATGTTTTTTTCACTTTAATATTTTGCTTTTATTCATGCCCTTATATTTTTTATTAAGAACATAATTTGTTTTTTATTTTTTATTTTTATTTTTGCCAGTCATGGGGCCTGAACTCTGGGCCTGGGCGCTGTCCCTCAGCTCTTCAGCTCAAGGCTAGCGCTCTACCACTTGAGCCACAGCGCCACTTCCAGCTTTTTTCTTTTTGTTTATGTGGCCTAGGGCCTCATGCATGCAAGGCAAGCACTCTACCACTGAGCCACCTTCCCAGCCCCAGAACATAATTTTAATAGGCTAGCTAGAATTCTATTATTTAGAAGACTTGTACTTTAATTCATTTTATTGGACATATTGGTTGTCAACAATGCTTCCCTTTAGCAATATATATATATATATATATATATATATATATATATATATATATTTTTTTTTTTTTTTGGTTCCAGTCCTGAGGCTTGAACTCAGGGCCTGGGTGCTGTCCCTGAGCTTTTCTGCAAGATTCAGTCAGGGCGTTTTCTTGTTTTGTTTTAAATTTAAATTTAATTCTAAGGATGATGTATAGAGGGGTTACAGAAGTTACATAAGTAAGGTAATGAGTACATTTCTTTTCAATCAGTTTTACCCCCTCCCCTCCCTCATTTTCTCCCATTCTCATCCTCTCCCCTACCCCATGACCAATTCTCCTCCCTCCCAAGTTACAAAGTTTATTTCCAACTAGTGTCTGGTGAGTATTACTGTTACAGTGGTTCATCCTTAGTCCTAGCTCTTCTGTGATTCCCCTTCCTTTTCCCAAATTAGATAAACTTATATTACAAGACAAAGGTTTCCTTTGGTTTATTCCCAATCAGGGTCTTTTGTTTTGTTTTTGTGATTAACTGGGGCTAAGAGTCTCATGGATTTTCTTTTTTCTTATTTTGGGTCTGGTCGTGGCACCTGAACTCTGGGCCTGGGCACTGTCCCTCAGCTCTTCAGCTCAAGGCTAGCGCTCTACCACTTGAGCCACAGCGCCACTTCCGGCTTTTTTCTTTTTGCTTATGTGGTGCTGAGGAATCGAACCCAGGGCCTCATGCATGCAAGGCAAGTGCTCTACCACTGAGCCACCTTCCCAGCCCGTCTCATGGATTTTCTTGCCTAGGCTGCCTTCAAACTGTGATCCTCAGATCTCAACCTCCTGAATAGTTAAGGCTATAAGCATTAGCCACTGACACTCAGCTATAACAATTTTTTGTGAACAGCCTTTTATGCAAACTTTCATATACAATTACAGCTGTATAAAAATCTCTTCAGAAATAATTCTGGAAAGAAAGATTTAAGGGGATAAACATCTTTTTGTTGTTGTGGTGGTGGTGGTTGTCGTGGTGGTGATGGTACTAGGGATTGAGCTCAGGACTATTTAACTATATCCTTAGCCATTTTTTGAATTTTATTTTGAGACAGTCTGGCTAAGTTGCCTAAGCTCAATCAAGTAATCCTCCTGCCTCAGCTTTTCAGGTTATTTGGGACTACAGGCATCATATAGCCAGCTGACATAAACTAACTTTCTTTTCTATTCTTTTTACTTTTCTTTCTCTCTCTCCTTTCCTTCCTTCCTTTTTCCTTCCCCCCATTCCTCTCTCCTTCCCCCTTCCCTTCCTCTCTCTCTCTCTCTTCCATTTCCCCTTCCTTTTTCCCTTCCCTTCCCTTTCCCCTTTCATTTCCTTTTCCTCTTCTCCTTCCCTTTCCTCTTTTTTCCCCTTCCCTTTCCCCTGATTGTCTACCTACCTGCCTGTCTTTTGGGGCTGGGAACTGAATCCAGAGCCTTCTGCTGCTAGGCAGCATTGCAATACTGAGCTACATTCCAGCCCATTAACCTTTTGAAGGGATTTGATGCCCATTGCTAAATTGCCCTTTAGTAATGCTGACTGCTCTACATTTGGGTTATGACTTTTTAGTGCTATTAAGATCACAAAGTTTAGGAGCATGGGCCTTGTATTCAGATAATATTGGTTTTGTATACATACTTTAAATTTTATTCTATGATCTTAGGTAACTTTATAAACCCCACATTCTCCATTTTTAAAATGGGATTCAACCATTCACCTCATGGGAGGCAAAGTTTAAGAGCAAGATCTGTATAAGATATGTGATTGTTATCACAAGTACTAGGCCTCAGTGGGCAACAAAGTAACTGTTAAGGCTACGTAAAACATTAACTTACCATTTCCTATAAATAAATGCATTAGGAATGTCCATTATTTTACTTACTACAAAAAAAGGCAATTAAATTCTGATATACTAGGTTCTATACTTAATATCTTAATTTCAGAAAATCTAAAAATACAAAGATATATATATATATATATATATATATATATATATATATATATATATATATGAGAATTGATAAAAAAAATAGTGCATAAGAGAGAAATAGGTCAAAATCTACCTGTTATATATAACTTTGTAAAAACATGTTAGCCTTTGTATTATAGTTTGGGTGTCAGACATTACTCTTATCAGCCAAGTGTCAAATACACCTTTAAATTTCATCTATACAAAATCCTGATTCATAAATTAATGGCCAACGAATGAATATATCTGCAGCTGTAAGTGGAGGTGGTTTCATCATCCACTATAGCATTTTACTCATCTGATTTTCTGATTTGTTTACAATGAGAAATGATACCTAATATTTTATAATTGGTAACATATTAAAGTGTTCTATGAATGAATATAAAAAGAAACAAAACCATAAAAGAACTATCAAATATATATACTCACCATTCTAAATCACTTACCTGCACCATTTTGGAAGACTGATCAGCATGATTTAAAGTGGTTCTATCAGCATCTGAATCAGATTCTATCTGCCTCAGAGAAGTACGTTTTTTCTTTGCAAGGTCTGCATCTCTACTATATGAGTATCCAAGTTTAGAAGTAGGAGATAAACTTGCTGTTTTAGTAGGTGATTCAGCATTGGATCTACATTCCAGGGGTCTAGAAGTTTCTATTTTTTCTTGTTCTAAGCTACTCCTGACTTCTACATTCTTAAACTTTTGTTGTTCTGTCTCTTCACAAATCAAGGGTGGAGATACATCCTTCTTCTTATCACTAACGTATAAGTCACTTAATTCTAAAGTCTCAGCTTTTAGTAGTCTCTTCTTGCCTAACAAAATCTGTGCCTGGGTTGAATCTGTATTGGAACATATTCCAGGGTCATCAGATCCTGAAGTCCTTCCAGAACTCTGCTGGGATTTCTGGGGTTCTGTATCACTTTTAGTCCTGCGAGAATAAGGAGAGGCAGCGCTTGGACTAAGGTGATCATCAGGAGTCTGATGCTCACTTTCTGACTCTCCAACCCCACTATCATTTACAAATACAGAATCATCCTGGGACAAGAAGTCGACTGCTCCACTGGTAGGCTGCTGTTGTGGTTCAGGTTCCCGCTTTAGATCACTAAGCTCTGCATAGAATTTTTCTTGATCCACAGAACTGTTTGTATCTGTTTCATAGTTTCCAACTTTATATGTGCTTTTACTGCTATTTTCCTCTATTTGAACAACATTTAGTTCTTGGCCACTGAAATGTGCCCTTATTTGATAGAGGTAAGTCATAACAGTCAGTTTATCAGGAATTGCCAATAAAACCATATCAGAAGGCTCCAATAACCGGGAAATTCCTATGCTGGCAAATCCATCATAAGCCTTCAAAGGAGAAAAAAAACACAAGATATAAATATAGTAAGATATGAATATAAAAATTAGGTAAGTAGTATATAGTATATAGGTAGAGTATAGGTACAATATAGGTACCCATAATAACATACAGGTATAATTAAAATATAAGTATAATACAATACTATGGGTAGAATATAGGTACTCAGACTGTTTATTCTTATTTATTTATTTAATTTATTTATTGTGCTGGTCCTGGGGCTTGAACTCAGGGCCTGAGCGCTGTGCTGAGCCTGGAGCTGAACCTTTGGGCTAGGGTTCTAACACAAGTTACAGTTCCACTTCTGGCTTTTGGTGGTGAATTAGAGATGAGAGTCTCATTGACTTTCCTGCCCATGGTGGTTTAGAACTGCAAAAAGCCCCAACAAACAAACAAACAAACAAAAACCCCTCAGATCTCAGCCTCCTGAGTAGATAGAATTTTAGGCATGAGCTACTGGGCACCCAGCTCATCCATCCACTTTTAACACAACAAAACTTAATTTTTGTTGTTGTTGTTGTAGGGTATATAAGGTTACTACTAGCCAATGTCATATGAAAGAATAAAATTCCAAACATCAGAAATGTATAAAAATGGGTAAAAGAGGAAATAGTTTACTAAAAACAATGGAAATATTCTTTTCCAAAAAGAAAATATGAAAAAATGATAGTTAAAAAACATACAAAAGGGCTGGGAAGGTGGCTCAGTGGTAAGAGTGTTTGCCTTGCATGCATGAGGCCCTGGGCTCAATTCCTCAGCACCACATAAACAGAAAAAGCTGTAACTCAAATGGTAGAGTGCTTGCCTTGAGCTGAAGAGCTCAGGGACAGTGCCCAGGCCCAGAGTTCAGGCTCCATGACCAAAAAAGAAAAAACAAACAAACAAAAAAACCCACACAAAAATCTGAGAATAGATTTTCAAAACGAAGAACTAAGGTATAAAGAAATATTAGACCAATGTACCCCCAATTTTATTGTTCCTATCAACCGCTTGTTACTACAGTCATGTGACTACAATAATTTGTAAAGAAAAAGCAGAGCTAGGTAAGTGCAAAGAACTAATGATCAGATTTCCTGAGAGAAATACAAATGAGTGCCATTAGGCTTAGAAACATAGAAACATTTTTTAAATGCCTAATAAGACTGGTTTTTTCATAAGGAAAAATTCATCCATTTTGGAAAGAATGAAATGTTTTGAGTACTACAATCTCGTTGAGAATGTAAGGCTGCATTGTGTTATTTTTGTTAGCCTTTAAATGACTGTGGTATATCAGGTTTTTCTAGTTTTGAAGAATCAAAGCTGTTTCTCAATTTACAATTAATTATTACTATCCTGAACTAACCCTTCAAAACAATACTGTTGCTAGGAAGCATTAAAAGTATGGCTAAAAGTTTAGATATACTTTCTGAAGAAGTATATCTAAGTAAGGATTCTATAATATATTCTTATTTTGGGATATTAAACCAGCTATTCTTCATAACAAGTTAAGACTTAGAAGTACAATTCAAAGTTTTTCTTAAGAGAAATGCTAGAAAATTATTTAACAATTGAGAAGGAATCATTCTTTTTCACTTCATGTTAAAATATATTTCTCCCTTAGAATTTAATCTGTGTTTGTCCTGTAGTTTAATAAATATGGAATAAGAAAGAAAATGAAAAACAAATTGTGATATTAAAACCTCTTCAATTTTCACAGCACTGTGCTTCATAATATTGGTACTTCAAGATACTTACTACAGAGAATGGCTCAGTTGGTGTGCATGTATAGACTTGTTTGTTATTTTACATGTTTTAGGAAAATTGAAGTCATTTTCCTCCTTGTGTACCTTGACTACTTGATTGACAGACATCAATTGCAGATCATCAAGGAAAGCACCACAAGCAGTATTATAAACATTTCCTAATTATCTAAAACAATGACCTACTGGTTAAGATCCAATGCCACAGGTAAATACCTTTTTTTATTCAGCATTTTTTTATAGACCTGGGAAAATGATTAGCTTTCTTGTGAAATAACTCCTGCTGGTGTTTTGCTTCATACAGCAATTCATTTAATGCACACTAATTGCACTAAACACATTTTAAAACAAACTAGGGTTCTTGTAAGGGAGGCAAGACTTTATAAAAGAACATTTCCATAGGATAACCTCTTCTGCTATGGCCATTTACCGACTGTCTTTTTAGTTTGTGTATAGAGAATTTTTTTTTAATCTCCTAGAGGAAATTGCTTTATTCAATCCTAAATGTTATTAAACTGGCTAAGGAGGAGTCATTGCCAGTCATGTTATCCACCTTGGTGGAACTTAAGACACAGGCATTGTTCCTTATACAGCTTTACATACAACATTATCAGGAAGAACCTCATAAAGCTGGAAATAATTTGCAGCTAAGCAACTAAGATATGCACTGTAGATTTCACATAAGAAGTTGCAAACGATGAAACAAAAGATGGCATAGCCTTAAACAGTTCAATGAATAGAACCATCCAAGTTAAAAGGCTTTCTAAAAGGTATGATATCTTCTCTGGAAAATCTGGAAATTTGGGGATTGAAGCAGGGTCTAGCACATGGTAAATTCTTACTCTACCACTTAGCTACATTCCCAGCTCTGAGAAAACTTTTTAATAAGATAAGACTATATTATTAATAAATACTTATAGATTATAGCATATAAATGTATATCATTTATTAGTATAAAAACCCAAGGTATTCTCACCATTATTAAATTCCTAAAAAAGAACTAGTGCCAAGTGTGACTTAAGCCTTAATGAGATTCCCCATATTAGTTAAAAATGTATAGCTAAGTAAAATAGGTACCATTTCCTTTTTAAAATTTTGAACAGTAAAATAAAGCTCTACTTTATATAAATAATAATGGCTTATTTATGAGGCAGTCTTGCCATGTTGAGCTTATGGCTCAAAGTCTCCTCCCATCTTAGCTTCTTGAACAGTTGGAAACACCGGCATATACCACTACAACTGACTAGCAATTAATGTTTCATTCTATAATGCATACATTTATAATAAAATTAGCTTAGTATTATTTGATTCAAGTGCAGGAAAATGCAGGTAAAGTACTGTCATACAGATGGGCTGGTAGGCCATCCCTGTAATCCTAGCTATTCAGCAGGCTGAAACCTGGAGGATTGGAGTTTAAAAAAAAGCCCAGGGAGAAAAGTCTCCGTCTCCAATTAACCAGCAGATTGCCATACTAGAGGCACGGCTCAAATGATAGAGTGCTGCTGTGGGCAAGAAGCTAGGTGAGTGTGAAGCCCTAAGTTCAAACCTAGTACTAGCACAACAAACTTAAAACAAATCCTGTCATATATATGGACACAATTTCATTAATAAAAGCATTTCTCTTCAATAGACATAGCATTTCCAAAATTATACAAGAGATAATTCAAATGACTTGTTAGTACGCACATCAAAAGGGTGTTTTTGGTTTTGGTTTTTTGGTTTTTAGGAATCAATGTTGGGACACACTGGAGATTGAATCAAAGCCTTCAAGTACTCTTCCACTGATCTGACTCCCCAACTCCAAGAAAGGTAATTTCTTCGTTCCTTTCTCCTCTCCTCTCTTTTGGTGGTACTAGGATTTGAACTTAGGGCCTCATTCGGCTTGCTTGATGGGTGATATATTTCAACTTAAAAAAATTGGAGTTCTAAAATGTATATTACTCCAGGATCAGCATTATATGTTTGCAAAGAAATAGTCATTTTAATGGCAATATATAATGGTTAGAGAACAATAAAAATAAAAGTGTTTTAATTAAATTCTTGTTTTGTCAATTGAACTATTCTAAAATGTTAATCATTAGTGATTCTAAAATGTTAATCATTAGTGATTCTTATTATTTAACTTATACTAAAAACTTTTATCCCAATCAGAGGTAATTAACCATTTGTCCTGTGTGCATTTTTGTTAATGGACTTCTCAGAAGAATATAAAGAAATAATTAGATTGAAAAATAATTAGGATGAAAAACATTGTTAAGGTGAATTTGGGAAACAGTAAATTTAGTGTTTTAATAAGCCCATTAAATAATGTGATTTTAAAGGAGTGATAAATTTATTTGTAGTAGTATACAACTATTATAGTAAGATATGAAAGTATCTGTGATCTCTGAAGGCAATGAAGTTTCAGGCATGACTCATCAACCATGATTTGTGACTTCAATTCACCATGGAAAGAAATGTTAAAGTTTGCCTAAAGAATTATAAAAACAAAATTTTCACAAATTATGTTATTCAAAGATCACAAGTTAATAATTCCAACTAAATCAGGCATCGTGACTGGTATCTCTAATCCTAGCTACTTGGGAGGTGGAGACTGAAGGGAATTATAGTTCAAGACAAGTCCTGGTAAAAAGTTAGTGGAACTCTATTTCAATCAAACAGCCAGGCAAGGTGGTACCACCTTTGGTCCCAGCTAAACAGGAGACTGTAGGTAAGAGGTTTGTGATCTGAGGAGGCTGTAAGGAAGAGGACTGTGGTCTTTGCCTGAGGTTAGCCCAAGGCAAAACCTTGAGATCCCACCAATAAATAATAACGAATACAATAAAGACCTTCAGTATGGCTTAAAAGTAAGAGTGCTTGCCTAGCAAGCTGAATGCTCTGAGTTCTAATCCCAGTACCACCAAGCAAACAAAAAACTGCTTTGAGATAACAATGTATTTCATTCATTGCTAGATGAAGAATTCAATTCAGTGCAAATATTGAGTATCTGTTGTATGAAGAGTTAGGTACACTTCCCTCCTTGCACACAGAAAATTACATATACTATACTTTGTGCTCTGAGGTAAAAAGCCTGAAAACTGGGTGCTGGTGGCTTATCACTGTAATCTTCTGACTAAAAAGGCTGAGATCTGAGGATCTTGGTTCAAAGCCAGACTGGGCAGCAAAGTCTTTGAGAGTCATATCAACTAACCAGCAAAAAGCTGAAGTAGAGATGTGGCTCAAGTAATAGAGCACTAGTATTATGTGAAAAAGCTAAGGGATAGTGCCCAGGCTCTGAGTTCAAACCCCAGTACCAGCATGTACACGCGCGCGCAGACACACACACACACACACACACACTCACACACACCATGAAAAGCAAAGCAAAGCAATACAAAAGCCTGAAGTACAGTCAGCTGGCCTGCCCAGGAGGCTCCATAAACAGCTACTCCCATACCCAGGCTCCATAAACAGCTACTCCCATACCCATTAAAACATTCTGATCTTAGTATATTATGTGTAGAATATGTATATAGTTTTCTAGACAGTAAAAAGAACTACTGTTAATATCTTTTTGCTTCTATGAATTAGGCACTCTCCCTTACATTTAGTATGTTCCTGCTCTCTTCTTTTAACATACTTTAAATTTTACATAATAGTTAAAGCACAACAGTTTTGAGTGCATTTTTATTATTGTGTCAATTTTTCTGTATTGGTACCAGAGCTTGACCTTAGAGCCTTAACAACCTACTCAGCTTTTTTTTGCTCACAGATGGTGCTCTACCACTTAAGCCACATCTTCAGTTCAGTATTTTGATGGTTAATTGGAAATGGATGAATTTGCTCAGGCTTTGAACCAATATCTTCAGGTTGTAAATTCCTGTGTGTCTTCCTTTGAGCCAAGAGTACCTGTCTTAGGTGCACTTTTTTGAAGTTACAATTTTAGAATAAAAGCAATATGCTTTCAACAATATTTAATAGTTAATGAAAGTCGTATATAATCTGATGCCTGTTGGACAGTTGTGATCTTTAAAATCTATGACAAACCAGAGAATTCATGCATCTTATTTCAACTGTAGGAAGCAGAACACTTGTATCCATGACCTCACTATGAAACTATGTATTTCTTAATTTATTTTTTTAAATTATTATAATAGCCGGGCACCAGTGGCACACGCCTGTAATCTTAGCTACTAAGGAGGCTGAGATCTGAGGATCACAGTTCAAAGCCAGCCCAGGCAAGAAAGTCTTATCTCCAATTAACTACCAGAAAACTAAAAGTGGCACTGTGGCTCAAGTGATAAAGCACTAGCCTTGAGCTGAAGAGCTGAGAGACAGCAGCCAGGCCCAGAGTTCAAGCCCCATGACCAACCAAAAAAATTGTTATTATAAAGGTTATGTAGAAAGCATTTATAGTTATATCAGTCAGGTAAAGACTTTTTTGGACAATGTTACCCCTTCCTCGCTCTTTCCCAGTTTTTCCCTCAAAACTACATATTGCGTTCTTCCGTAATTCTTACCTTTTTGTTGTTTTCTTTAATATCTTGAGGATTCAGAGACTTGTAGTCACTGAAGGAGAAAAATGGGACAATGGGTACATATAATATTAGATTTACAAAGCTGTTTTTAAAAACCTTGAATCTAAAAATATGACATTCAATAATAAAGAAGAAAAACTAGCAGTTTCACAGCAATTCAATCAGTAAAACCAAAAGTATTGAAAATAAAGGAAATAAATAAAAGCTTTTAACTCAGAAGAGAAGTAGAGAGAGAGGACCAGAGTAGCCAGATAACCACATTTATCATAATGTAATCCTTTGCTGTTACTGTACAAAGACCTATAGGCCTTTATCTCATCTCATTTGTACACTAACACAATTTTCATGATAATTTAAAATCAATTTTTTGTATAATATTAAGGTGAAAATAATTTTTTTTTAAAAAAGAGAAAAAGTACCAAGGAAGAAAAACTTTCTGTTATACAGTTCTGTCAATAAAGCAAGAGACATGGTTACTAAACAACATAAAGTATATAAAAAATATATAAAGTCAAGTATTTAAGGATACATACTAAAAACTTATTTTGTGATTTTTTTTGGGGGGGGGGTCTGGTTGTGGGTCCTGAACTCTGGGCCTGGGCGCTGTCCTTCAGGCTCTTCAGCTCAAGGCTAGCGCTCTACCACTTGAGCCACAGCACCATTTGCGGCTTTTTTCTTTTTGCTTATGTGGTGCTGAGGAATTGAACCCAGGGCCGCAGGCATGCAAGGCAAGCACTCTACCACTGAGCCACCTTCCCAGCCCCTATTTTGTGATTTTTTAAAATAAATGTCTGTTATTTATAAACTATTTTGCCATCTTTTAAAAATGTTTATTATTTATAAACTATTAATAGGGAATGGGACATAGTTCTACTTACATTAAATCTGGTCTAAAGTGGTGCAATATTGCACAAAAAGATAAACCATTTCTCCATGATGTAGTAAAATTGGTGATTTTTACTCCCCGGTAATTTTTCGTGACTTCTTTGCACCATACAAGCAATGACTGACTAGCATTTGGCTTTCGCCCCAAAACAGGACTTGGTATAGGGCTTGGCTAGAATAAGAGAAATGAAGAAAACATTAAAAGAATTTAATAGAAGATGAAAATTAACATTAATTGACCTAACTAGATCATTTGAACCCTTTGATGTCAGTTTAGGTCCTTCAAAACTGTCAGTTCATGACAACTGTAACCTCTAAAGGGAGACATAAATCTTAAGTTATTATCTTCAGTTTTAGCCCATGGCATTTGCCTGACAAGGATATAGATATGTGAGAGTTAAAGTGTATACGTAAGAACAAGCCAAGAGCTTTGTTGATAGAAACATAATGTTGAAAGCATTTAAATACTTAAGGCTGAATATTTGTATAATGCTCATACTCTGAAAGATTTTCTCAAATGTAAAGGAACAAAATATTTTTTCTTTTTTACAATATCAAAAATTATTCATTTTAAGTTTAATTGTAGCACAGATTATTAGGGGAAGAGAAATCAAAATAAGTTTTCAAAATATAGTCATATTAAATAAATATCACAATTATAATTACATTCAAATGCCTTTCCTGTAAGAATTTAAAGTTATTAACAACAGGTGTTGGAACAGCATATACCAATAGTACATAAGTCAGATATGCTCAAATAATTTCTAATTTTAATTGAGAACTATTTTTAAGTATGAGATGGGTGACATGAGTTTCAAATCTTAAGCATATATTTGTTCTTGTGTGCATACAGTTAAAACCACAATGATGGGTAAGATTTAGTACTTTTTTCTTTTGGACGGTCGTGGGGCTTGGACTCTGGGCTTGGGCGCTGGGCTTGGGTGCTGTCCCTGCGCTCTTCAACTCAAGCTGAGTGCTCTACCACTTGAGCCACAGCGCCACTTCCAATGATGGGTAAGATTTTAATTCTAAACTTGTATTGTTTTTAAAATCATGTCATTTTCTTTCATTGAACAACTATAATTTGTGATACTATCACAAATATGGAGGCTGATACAATTGAAAACTGTTAAGAAACCCACTAAATATTTCTAACTATAATCTTCTTATTAATAAAAACTAATGGCTATAGTAGTGACACTTAAATATAAAACAGAAGTCCTCCAAAACAAGGTCAAAGGAGAAAAATTATTTACCTCTAATATTTAAGTTTAACAAGCAAGCCATTTCTACCATATTGCTTAAGAAAGTCCAATGATGCCCCCATTTGACAAAAGCATGTTAGTGCCAAACAAAATCAACCCCAACATAACTATGACTTGTATATCTACTGCTTCTATGGGAGGACTAAGAATCAACAAAAATGTAATTTATCATTTTTATTAACTGCCAGATTAACAAATAATTAGATAAACAACCATGAGTCTAGCAAAATGCCATTTTCTATCATTTTTTTCTTAATTCAGTACCGGGGTTTGAACTCAGGCCACCATCTTGTACTTTCTAGAGAGTTGCTCTATCTTTTGAGCCTGGGCCCAGGGTCTATGAAGTGCTGTTTTAAAATGATCATCTTTCAAAAGTAAATTAAAAAAAAACCTCACAGATGATAAAAATTAACAAACTTAGATCAATTCTACTTAATATTCAGAAGTAGGTAAAAACAGGATTCTACAAATAGCAAATAATATATATTTTAACTATCCATCTAGGTCTACTGTAATTTTGAAATCCATCTAATCATTTAACCTGTGGGTAGAGATTTACCTTATTAATAAGGTAAGATGGGAAAAATAATTTTCTCATTTTCTTTATCACTAAAAGCTGGCATATTTTTCTATATAAAATTATATTGTTAAGGCATGCAGCTGTTCCAAGTTGTACATCAGACAACTAATCTTCTCTATCACATTGTCTATAGTTTCTTCCTTACTCATATACATATATATATATATATATATATATATATATATATATATATATATATATATATATATATATATATTCCTCCCCCCCACCCAACCCCCGGTCCTGGCGCTCTCTCTGTGCTCAAGAGTAGTGCTCTACCACTTAAGCCACAGTGCCACTTCAGCTTTTTGAGTACTTTGTCGGAGATGAGTCTCATGGGGACTTTTCTTCCGGGGTGGGCTTCCAACTGCAATCCTCAGATCTCAGCCTCCCAAGTAGATAGGATTAACAGGTGTGAGCTACTGGCACCTGGCTTCAATATTATTATTATTTTTTAATTTTATTGTCAAGGTGACATGCAGAGGGGTTACAGTTACATATGTAAGGTGGTAAATACATTTCTTTCTTTTTTTTGGGTCCGGTTGTGGGGCCTGAACTCTGGGGCTGGGTGCTGTCCCTCAGCTCTTCAGCTCAAGGCTAGCACTCTACCACTTGAGCCACAGTGCCACTTCCGGCTTTTTTTCTTCTTTTTGCTTATGTGGTGCTAAGGAATCGAACCAAGGGCCTCAGGCATGCAAGGCAAGCGCTCTACCACTGAGCCACCTTCCCAGTCCCGGTAAATACATTTCTTGTCAAACATTGTTACCTCCTCCCTCATTTTTCTCCCATTTTTTCCCTCCCCCTTAATCAATATTCTAATGAGCAGTTTGGTCTCTCTGCATTTTGTGCTGATTCACTCTTGGATTTCCAAATATACACTTACTTACAGTTTAAACTATGATACTTCCAACTAGCTGTCCTTTCTATCATATAAAATTTGAAACTCAGTATGTACAAAACCATAATCATTCCTTACAAGCTCCTTTTCATTGCTTGTAAATGAGAGTGCTTATTGTTTTACTTGTTTTAGACTTTTAATCTCAGAATCACATTTGAATTCTTCCTTCACCTATCACCCCTTAATAGTTAAGTCATGGACAATCTGATTTGATTTGATTTTACCTAAGGCTTCTACAAAATCATGAGAGGTCTTCCTTCTTCCAAATTGTCCCTTATCTAACCCATTAGTCACAATATAGGTCTTCTTAAACACCACTAACATCTTTTTGGGTCTCACAAAAACACAAAATGGTGGTGAAATATTTCTGACATTGAATCCCAAATCCTTTTCAATGTGTTTATTCTCTAGGATGACTTAGTCCCCATCTCTTCAGTCACACAGATCATCATTCGCACTTAAAATATCTTCAGTCTCTTCTATCCCTAGTACAACTGCTATGGCTGAGAGAGTAGGATCATGAGTTATAGAGTAGTACACAAGACCTTGTCTTGGGGAGAGGGGAAGTTTGGGATGTGGTTTAATGGAATAATTTTTGCCTAAAATGTGTGATTCTTTGGGTTCATTCCTCAGTAGAAAAGGGTTTATAGCCAGAAAAACTCATAAATTGATCAGGAAAATGAAGTCAACTAATACAAAATAAAAAAATTGAATGGTTACTTTCAAATTTTTAATTGACTTACAATGAAATCCAAGTATTTGATAAATAAAAATCAATGTTAGAATTCAGAAAAGTTAAAGGTTCTAATATACACTTACCTTAGAAAGCAAGACAATTAAAATCTTTTAATTTAAATGAAATATTTCAAAGAAATAAAAATACTAAATGTTGGCAAGAAAGGGAGTTTTTCTTTTTTCCTTTTTTTTTTTTAAAAGTAGTCATACAAAGGGATTTCAAGTCAACATGTCAGTTTATAAGCTCACAAGGCATCTTGATCAATGTCATCCCTTCCATCTTTCTCAAAGGGAGTTTTTGTACAGGGTTGATTAAAAAACAACAATAACAAACAACACTCTGATAATGTCTGTTATGCTACATTTGAAGACATGCCTTATCCTACCACCCAACAATTCCTAGGTTTATATCCTATAGAAACATATGCTTCTACAGAATAGACTACAAATACAGCAATGTCATAGCAGCAGTTTCAATTTTTCAATTCTGAAATGGCTAAACATGACATGGATATAAATTTTTTTGATAATTCAGATAGTGAAATACCACACAGAGAGACACACATAGAGCCTATCTAGTGAAAATTCTAAAAAAAAGCATAGCTTATCATATAACAGAAGCAAGATCAAATATATATAATAATTATCTAAATGCTGGTGACTCATGCCTGTAATCCTACTGGAGAGTCTGAGAGCTGAGTAATTTTGCTCAAAGCCAGCCCAGGCAGGAAAGTCTGATAGACTCTTATCTCTAACTAACCATCAAAAATCTAGAAGTGGAGCTGTGGCTCAAGAGGTAGAGAACAAAGCCTTGAGTATAAAAGGTAAGTATAAAATCCAGACCCTGAGTTCAAGCCTCAGCAAACACACACACACACACACACACACACACACACACACACACACACACACACACACACACACACACACACACACACACACACACAACAAACACACTCTAATAATACATAGACTAGAAAGGGCAAAAAAAAAAAATCTACATACACTAGAAATAAAGAGACCAGTGTATGATTTCAGATTCTATGTTGCAACAATCAAGAGTTCAGTATTATAAAAGAGAACAATATTCAAATATTCAAAAGGTCTATTAAAATCCTCTTTACTGGTCGAGGATAGAGTGCATGTTAAGCATGCACAAGGCCCTAAGTTCATAAACTGCAACCAAAATTACACATTACAATGGACACTGGTAAACAAAAAAAAAGTCACCTTCTCAGTAAATTGTTTTCCTTGGAAAATATAGTCTTAATTCATTAAAGTACTTGTGTTTATATATGGTAAAATTGTTTATAAGCTAAATGAATTAATGTTTTAAATTACCCTATTTCAAATAGTATAAATATCATTCTGTATAGCTCACATAAATGTTGTTTGGAATTTTTTTGTATATGGTCATTATAATCTTTACATATTTTTTATTTCTTTTTTGTTGAATGTTTTTATTAAGGAAGAGATATGTAAGCCAGACACTGGTGGCTCATACCTATAATCCTAGTTACTTAGGAGGCTGAAATCTGAGGATCGTACTTTGAGGCCAGCCTGGGCAGGAAAGTCAGTGAGACTCTTATCTCCAATAAACTATACAGAAAAAGCTGAAAATCATGGTGCTGTGGCTCAAGTGGTAGAGTGCTAGCCTTGTGCAAAAGCAGCTCAGGGACAGTTCCCTGTCCCCA